CCTATCGATGTAACAGACTGAAGAGGGGGGAAAGCCCGAAACGCGTATCTGTATGACTTAAAAGTGGATGATGAAATTATTTGCCAAGTGTAGATAAATTCACCAATTCGTGACATTGAACCATATAAAATAAGAGATTCTATTAAAACATTACAAAATCTATAATTTTAATAATTATTATTAATAGACAAAAACAAATTTTTACTAAAATTCCGAAATCAGGAGTATATTGTATCAGGAGCATGTTACTCACATAATATAAGACTAACAATATGCTTTTGAGTTCTTAAAAACTATCAGATAAGATATTATAACAGTTATGTTTAATAGAGAAAACTTTATTTGAGAATATCACAAAATTTTATTTAAATATCTTCAACATCTCATTTTTATAAGAACATGTCAATATAATTAATTAAATATTTAAGTTTCCAACATGCATTTTTAAACAAAGGCGTTATGAAACAGCTTTTTACTTCTACATTAATAATAAAAACAGTTTTCTTCTCAAAATACTGGACTGAGTAAATAGCAAATCGCAAATAAAACTTCTATACATCGTAATTTTATCTAAGTCCAATTACAAATCTATAAAAGTTGAAATTCGTGATTGCTTCGTCTTTATATATTTTTCGATTTTCAGATAAGCAGGGCCGGATTAATCCACTTTGGGGCCCTAGACATTTTCTTCTTACCAGGCCTTTTTCTCTCTCACAAGAATTGAAACATGAAGCTGCTATTGGACTTAGACATTAACATCCTGAGATATGTCAGAAAATATAAGTACTAGCACTTAGGGGCTGTCCATAAATTACGTAAGGGCGATTTCGGCCATTCTAGACCCCCACCTTCCTGTGTAAGAAGCCGTAATATTTTTTTTCATCCCCCTTCCCTATCTTAGGTAATATTTAGGCATGATTTTTAGAAAGATTTTAACATAAAGAAAAAAAAGTTTTTTTATGAAACCCTAAAAGCCTTAGGTCCAAAATATATAATTATCAATTAGTTAATTAATATGTACTATTACAGTAGAGCATCGATTATCCGACTCAATTGGGGACTCAGGTTGGTCGGATAACTGAAAAATCGGANCGTTTTAACAAGAATGTAAGCATTGAAATCCATAAAAACTGGCTACAATTATTAAAATAGAATGTTTATACAGTTGTAGACCAGCCTGTGTTTGGCACTCTGGGAGTAAGACATTATAAAGTTACGAGGCATGCGGGGGAGGCCGTCAAGTCGGGTGGGAAGGGAAGGGGGAGTGAGATGTACGGAATGTGCCCGATAAATACTATAACAGACTGAAGAGGGGCGAAAGCCCGAAACGCGTATCTATCTGAATCATTTTTCTTATTGTACGCAAGAAAATATTTAAAAAATACAGTAATTTTAAAGTTAAAATAAAATTAAACTAACGAATACCAAAACCAAAGTTATGGAGAGATACTACGCGCTTGTATATCGATGACGTAATACACGTAGCTGAGAAGCGAACGAAAACAACCGAGTCGAATTAATTAAATCGGGAAAGTGTGCATTATAATCGAGAAAATGCGACTATTGTATTAATGTTTAAAATATTAGTATTAAATCTGTCTTAATAAATCATGACGACTCCCGTAAATCGAGTTATCCGATAAGAATAAAATACTGTACAATACCAATATAGCCCTATCGTAGACAAAATTCGCTTATTTTTGCCTACCTCGAGTTTTGCTTTTTAGTAGAAATGGCTAAAAAGTGCGCAAAATACGTACGGAAATACGGTATTACTGTATATGTATTTTTTATGATGCGGTTTTTTAATATAATTTAAAGACAATTTTTTCTTAAAAAATTACAAAACTTCGAGGGTTTAACCATCTTTTTTTTTATCTGTAATTGCATTTTTTCAGTGGGGAGCTACTACAAACTACTAAATTGACTTTTAAAAAGTATTTATTTACTTTTTCACAATAATTACACATATTCACAATATTTCACAATAACTAAAACAAATTAAAACGTTAAAAAAATCAGAGTTGCTTTCTCTGGATATATTCAAAAGTCATCGTATTCCTGTTGATAAGTAATAAGGCCATTCCATCCACCATTATTAATCACCCACATTAATAAATTTGATCCAATATAGGAGCTCAAACGTTCTGCCAGATCCTTTACGATTTCTGCGCCACTCAATCTATGGCAAATAAGAGCCATTTCGCCGGCGAGTACAAATAATGCAACAATTTTCGGCCAAGTGACCCCCTCACTAAATAGTTCATTGGCAACTTCTACGATAATTACACTTGCATTAGAAGGATGGATATTGAGATCATCAGTCATTTTTAAAATTCTATCTTGATACCTCGTTTTAAATTGGTTAGCCAGCGATATGAGTGAACTATTCACTTTACTTGAAGTACCACTTGGATGCGACCTCCATTCATAACTATTAATCTGCATTTGGTAGGAAATGTAATTTTTTAATACTATTAGTTTGTGATACATAACATATTATTTTTTCTGCCATAATAACTTTTTTCTGTACCCCTAAACAACCCATCGCGTACCCCTAGGGGTACGCGTACCACAGGTTGGGAATCGCTGAGATAGAGCATCCTTTTGGAATTGAAGATGGAGTTCAATCTGTCCTTCATATAACAAAACTATTTTCGGGTACCACCACACGGTTTTTTCCCATAATAAAAAATGTGTAGAGCATGAGTCTGTTAGCGATAATTATTATTCTATCACGTCACACGAGATGACATTGGTACAATGAGCGTTCTTAATAGAAACTGTCAAATTGAAGCTAAATTCAAAGCTCCACCACTCAACGAGATCAAAAAATAAAACTAAGAATATTACGTAAGACGAGATCTATTACTCCCTACCCCTGAGTAAGAAATCGTAAGAATTTCTTGACACCCACTCACCCCAAAATATTTTACGTAATTTATGGACGACCCCTTATGAGAAAAACTTTTTATTTACATCAAAAATAGGTGTTTCTTCCAAACAGATTTTTAATGTAAATAAAGAGTTTTTCTCATAAAAGCTAGTAGTTATATTTTCTAACATACCTCTGGAAGTAAGTATAAAAAGAAAACAGTTCTCAGAAAATTAATCTTTTCTTTTTTTTACATTTAATTTTAATATAATTTACATTGATCTCATTGGAAATTTTATATTTATTTTCTATATTTTAATATTAAAAACAAAACTGATATTTTAAAAACATTTTCAAAATACAATAATTCAGAAGCTTGAAATACATTTATTAAAAAAGTTTTTTGAATTTAAGTTGATACCTCTTCAGTAATATATATAATTTAATTATTTTATCAATTACCATAATTTAGATAATTGTGTCCTTGAAAATGAGCAGGGAAAGCTCAAAAGCATTTGTTTTAAAAATATTTAAATGATTTCTTTAATAAGGCATGTTTTCTTATAATCAAAATAGTTAGCTGTAAGGTATTATTTTATATTCCCATAAAAAACAGAGATTATCGATAATTTATAAGCACGGTTTTTTAGTATTACATCTTTGTATTGCAACTATTTAAAATTGTTTATACAATATATTTAATAAAATTATTATATTTCATAAATCTAAAATTTAATAATCTAATAATTTGGATTTGGCTTTTAACCTTCATAGTTCACTGATATATATGTTATATATTTTTTTATTATTATTAATATTATTATGTTAAAAAGTTTTTAGAAGTATTTATTATATTTTCAGAGAATTTCTCAACAAAGAAATAGCCATGTACAACCATTTTTTAGATATACCATATCAAGTTAAACAAACATTATCTACAAAGGTGAGCTTAAGTTGGTGTCTGTTTATCTTTATCACAAATCAATATTAATGATGATAAATTTAATACTAATGGCATGAATTAACAAATTAATTAGTTCTTTGCAGAATTAATTAATTTATTAATTTATGCCATTAGTATTAAATTTATCATCATTAGTATTGATTTGTGATAAACTGTACGGAATTAATTATAACAACAAACCTGATTTTTGCCAAGCATAAAATAATTTTATGCTTGGCAAAAATTATTTGGATTAAAATAGAATAGAAATCAAAATTAAAGATCAATGTATTTTTTAATAAATATGTAGCTTTTGATATTTAATTAGTCTTCTATTGTTATTACAATATTAGACCAAATATCTAATTGCTGTCTTTATCAGCAAGCATTGAAAATAGTTACTGAATCTCTTTTATTGATGTAATTGCTATATGTGATAGCCTTGTAAATTTCTAGGACCGCAATGAATTTAGCTAAGTTTTTTCCTTAACTGATTTTATTATATTTGCTCCACTCCAATCAAATTATGTATTATTTAACACATTGACTGCCAACTATGAGACAACTCATAGTTTGTGTTATTGCTTACGTCACCACATATGAGTTATCTCGTAGTTTTTTTACTTTCCATATTTGTGCAGCTACGATGAAATTCGTAGTATATCAGTGTAAATATGAATAGATAGCCTCAGGGGCAAGAACAAAAAATCAAGGTTGGCTTACATGAACAGAACATTTATTAATAAATGAACAGAAAATGTAATCATAAAAAGTTTATTCAAAAGCAAAAGCATATTTTATTGTTTGTGATAATTTTTAAAACAATCTTTCATGCAAAGGACTGGCTTCTCTGGACAGATTGGACAGAAATAATGCATTTCTCAGCATTTTTTAGCTTTGGTACAAATTCAACATGGCTTTGTCAGATGCTGTTTTTTTCTTTTTTTTCGGTAGGTGGGATACTCTGTAAACAATGAAGCTCTTGCAATCTAATGTTTTTGAAACTGGTTGAATCTCTTCTCCAATTAATGCATTGACAAATGCTTCTCTAAACTTTATAAGTTTTATTTTAGAAGAAGTTACTTTTTGAAAAAGTTTGTGCACATTGTGTATATATATCTCTATAATATGTAATGCAACCTTTTTGGGCTATCTAATAGTCTTTCTTAAAGCTGTTTTGATAGCATTTGATCTGATCAGTCAATGCCAGACATTCCTTAATTGTAATCTCGAATTATATTCAGTTTCATCGAACATTTTCCATTGAAATTAAACATTTCTACCATTTCTTCAGGTTCGGAGATGACTTTATCATCACTGTCCTCACTTGAATTCTCAGAAGGTACAGTACTTACATAATCACTACTGTCGTTACCATCCTCACCAAAAATCTTGTCAGATTCTGAATCACTTAGATTACCTTAGTACTCAAGTTGTTTTTCAGTGAATGGTCTTTTCTTATCCATATTTGGGGTATTTATAATTTGATTATAAAAATAATTATAAAACAACACACTCAAGAAAGACGTAAGTGTGATGCACTCAACTCTATATCTGATTTATTACTAACGAATTTAGATGCTCGGCTGTAGCGAAGCTACAGGTCAAATTGTATCTGTGCACGAATAAACTTGTAGTTTGGCTTTAGCAAAGAGCTTTCTGTTACATAAGCCAACTATGAGATAATTTGTAAGATTTTTTTTTTANAAAGACAAGTGTTTGTAGGTCCTACACTACAATAAAAAAACTACAATTTCAGTGAGAAGGCTGTGCCTGTTTATTTTACGGTACAATTAGTTTTTTTATCGTTATTTAAATCTCAACAGAAAGAAAATTAAATACAGTACGTAGTTTTTAAAAATCACTGACATAGTTTTAATATGGCCGTAGGGGTCACCAGTATTCTTTAACTTGTAAAGGGGTCGCGTATTCAAGAAGGTTGAAAAACACTGATTTAGACGAATAATCAGTCGGAAGAATAAAATTGAAAATTTCCCCGAAAATAGAAACTTCCTGATAACACCGAAAATGATGTTCACTTATTCTATTTGATTCTTCTAAAAATCATTATAATATTATGCTAATTAAATATCAAACTTAGCTTTAAACATTTAATAAACCATCAACACATTAATATATTATCATAAAATACTAGCAAAGGAGCCCGGCTAAGAAATACTTACGTAGTAATATCGATTTACCTTTAAACGTTTCTTTAATTAACAGACTGAGATTTTTTGCTGCCGATCAAATCAATGCACTTTTTTTTGTACTGAGATTATTTACAAAAACATAGATCATGTAAACTTAATACTTGTTTTTGATTGGTAAGTGAATGGTTTACATATAACAAGAGCAGCAATATTTTTATCGCATTTTATTGAAAGCAATATTTTTATTTAATTAATTTATACAAAAAAAAACAAAATATACGAAAAATATATAATAATAATAATAATAATTCTTAATTGTTTATTAAATTAAAAAAACGGTACTTATGGGTTAAGAGGGCGCCAGTCGGAAGTAGTGTTTTTTCCGAATAATGCAATTTTTTATTTGTCAAATTTAATACAATTGTTAAATTAAACAATAAATTACGATTTATAAAGATATAATAAAATCTCACAAATTCTAATAATAAACCACTTGAATATGCAAATTGTTTTGTAGCATCGGCGTACTGTAGTGGGGGCGGCAAACTTTCACAATAAATAATAATAATAATATCTTGTAAAAATTTGAAACATCCTAATCTATACTTGCATCGCGCCTACGATAGTGATAATTATCGTCTGGACAGTCTGGGAATCGGCTCACTGCCCAGGTGAACTACAGTAGTAATTTTTTCATCCGAGGAAATCCTGGAAACCTGTTGACCTTTTTTTGCTTGTACGATTCATTCGATACATGAAATAAAAAAAAATGTAGGAAACAGAAATAACAATAAAAATTGGAAATTTTGTAAAACATATAGAATGTTCAATCTTTATTCTGTTACACTGCGTTCCTGTTTAGAAAAGATGAAACTAATTTATTGTCTATTGGAAGAAAAGGGAGAGAAAGCTATGTCAATAAACATCTAGAGGCTATGGAGGGGTACAGTAATAGTACTTCGAATTTATTTTTTCGGGAATTTATTTAACATGTAATTTTCTAAAAATTAGTATTATTATATTGACACAAAGTATTAGGTGCCCCATTAAATTGGGAATATATGTTAGTTAAGCTGTTTATAATTTAAAGAAAACTTTGATAACGACTTTCGTGACTTTTTAAATCTTTTAATGAAGTTATGAAAATAAAGAATATTTTATGTTATACATATCATCGCTGAAAATATAATATAAATTTTTAAAGAATTAAATGAATGTATTATCCACAATTTTCTGCCTTTTTTTTATTTTAAAGTCGATTTTTTTTTCTTCTTTGTCTCCACGTGAAAACAGAAATCAGAGAAATATTTGTTCTAAGGCAAACGTTTATTTGACACCTGTGTGTTGAAACTCTGATCAGAGATTGTTTATAAACCTATAAGCCTTGCGCTCATAATTTAGCCCGTTGTTCGTATCTGTCATTTTAGAACTTTAAATAAAGTTTTATTTTATTATAATATGCTTGTAGTCGAATTCAGTCAGAAAATTTTAATTTTATTATAATTTATTGAAGATTTTAATTTTTTAATATGAGAAGGTAATTAGCATTAATTACAAGGTATCGTATTTCATCTTCGCTCCTGTTCAAGTTTTTTGTCTAGACCCGGCATGGCCAATATCTGGCCTATCTAATGAATTTAAATCAGCCCGTGATTAATCTTCCAATATTAGCTACTCAAGTCGGAATAGCTGGACTAAAAATTCTGACGCCTAAAAAAAAAGATAAACAATTTACTGTGCGTTTAGAGTTAATGCTCCATTACAAATCTATTAATTAAGTACAGCATAGAATGTTCATAATGCATGATAATGTGAAAAAATGTGAATATTCTGTATATATAAATATAAATGTGTAAATATTTATTTTATATAGATATAAGGAGAATTAATTCATGCCCATTCTTTGTGATAGAGACCATAAAATTGAGAATGTTTTTAAGGAGAAAATACCAATTTATGACAATTTATGGTAATATTAAAACATCACANGCTATTTCTGTTTCCTACATTTAATACTAAGATACACCAAATAATAAGAATTATAGCCTATATAAAACTAATAATTTATATAAGGAGCGGCATTTCGAAGACTTGCATCATACTTAGAAAATCTACCGCACGGCCCTGATTTTATTTAATGTATATATAATAAAATTGTTGATTAAAGACCTCCCCAAATTATTTATTTACATTTTAGTGAAATATTATTAAATACTATGAAATATTTTTAATAATGAAATTTATGTTGACATGTTTTTATCAATTTGAATAATTTTTAGAAATTAACAAAATTAAAGTAACAGTTTATGAAATACACAATTATTTTTAAAAAAGCATCTTTTGATGAAATAATGATTAATTTATTATTTTATAATCGGCAATCGTTTTATTTATTTAATAGTCGAAATTAGTGATATACAGATGTTGCACATTATTCAGTCTTAATAATTATTACGATGAAGACACAGTTTTACTGCATTATCTAATGGTGATATAGCTTCAGATTATCGGATCAAACGAATAATGGTTATTAGAATGCTAGGTTGTGACGAAATATAAATATTATTATTAGATCAAATTTCATTTGAATTTTAACTACGAGAGCGGTACATACAAATAGGTTAGGTGTCATGTCTACGCAAGTTCGGCCAAGAAAAAATGCTCATCCTCGACGTCTTCAAGTTAGAAAGCCACAAGAAATAGAGAAAATGGCAGACAAGAATGATAACTCGTTAACGTGCGAAGAATGTGGCAAGAATTTCGTTAGAAAGAAGAATTTACTATCTCATAAAAAGACTCATAGCAACGAAAGACCTCACAAATGTGTAGAATGCGGTCAGACGTTTTCGCTACGTAACACACTCGTATGTCACAGGCGTGTACATACTAAAGAAAGACTGTACACTTGTAGTTTGTGTTTTAAGAGCTTCACACAGTGTTCTACGCTAAAAACTCACGTTATCTACAAGCATACAAAGTCATTTCCATATTTTTGTGATAAATGTGGAAGAGGTTTCATTTCACCTGGGAAGAAAGTCGATCATTATAGTCGTAAATTGTGTCATAAAAATGAAATGACCTGTGATTCTAATTAATAACGCTTATGCATAAGTAATTATTTTGTTTTGCAGTAAAATACTGTTTTTTT